GATCTATCACATTTAGAACAGCACTGTCTGTAAAAGAGGGACTAAAATTTCCATAGGGCTACTTTTTCAAGGCAAATAAATATTAACAATAAATGCAAGTATGTATTAATAAAGGTAGGGGAAAAGTCCATTTCACATATTTTTAAAAATATTTTATTATTTATTTTTAGAGAGAGAAGGGAAGAAGAAAGGGGGGGAGAGAGAGAAAGAAACATCAATGTGTGGTTGCCTCTCACGTACCCCCTACTGGGGACCTGACCCACAACCCAAGCATGTCCCCTGACTGGGAATCAAACTGGCAACCCTTTGGTTGCAGGCCTGCGTTCAATCCACTGAGCTACACCAGCCAGGGCCCACTTCACATCTTTACCTTACCTATTTGGACCATGGTTGCATTTCAGTTGTGACTCCTGCCATGAACAATTTCCATTATTAGTTTTCTTCCAAAACACAGAAGATTCTTAATTCAAACTTTTCAGGCAATTAAGGATAGATAATGTATCTATGAAGACAATCTTCCAAGTTTACCAATGGTCAGAAATATGAGGCATTTCACCCAGATAATTAAGACCAAAAAGTTCAAATGTATCTGAAAATACAGTAAAACTGCTTTTTAAAAAATCCTTACAAGGATATGTTCGTTGATTTTAGAGAAAGAGGAAAGGAGCGACAGGGGGAGACAGAAACACTGATGTGAGGAAAACATTGATTGGTCACCTTCCCCACATGCCCCGAGAGGATTGCACCCGCAACCTAGGTATGTACCCTGACCAGGAATTGAACCCGCAGCCTTTTTTGGGTGCACAGGATAATGTTACAACCAACTGAGCCACCCAGCCAGGGCACCACTTTTTATTTTTTACTATTTGTATAACACTTTGAAAGCACAGTGGTCATCAGTTGGAGAAAAGGGTAATTCACTGAGTAAGAATTCAAGGAATATGTGAAATAATTTGTATGTCTACAGAAGAATGGGGAAAATTGCACTGAGAGGAGGGACTAAATTTTTATTAGCCATTTTAAATGTTGGACTATCTCCTCTGATAAATCTCAATATAGCTATGTAGCATTAGAAAGAAAAGGACAAGAAAAGAAATTCCACACAGATTAATATGAGCATTTCTAAAATACTTTTTAAGTTCCATAAATAGAATATACTATAAAAAAAACAGACCTCAAAGGAGGCAATGCTAACATACTGAAGTCAAGTGGGAAGCTATGACAGTAAAATACAGAAATTGCACCTACAATGCCATTCAGTGGAATCACTTGGCCATGAGTCTCCCAAAAGTGTGAATTCTAAAACACATCCATCAGGGAGGAGTCTAAGCGTTACTTTTCTTAGCAAATCTCCAGAGCTTCCATAATTGCAACTTAACATCACTTAAGTAGCAAAAAATTCCACCAAAAAAAAAAGTCTTTTCCTTCAAAACTATTAGCTAAATAACTTAGCCAGAGACTTCTTAGAAAAAAGACTTTATATAGGAGAACCCAGGCATACTGGGACACATTAGTATGTCATAATTCAGCTCACATACCAACTTTTAAACTTTTACAACATAGGAATTCCCTGAGTTATCAAATTCTATTTCTCAACCAAAAGCCTCTGAATTTTAATCCCCCTTTCCCTTCTGTCGTACAGCTACAACTCTTACCCTAATTTTCAGGACTGTGGCAGATTTCCTAAAACTAAGTGTTAACAGACTGTCTGTTCCTCTTATCAAGAACAACAAATGAGGTAGTCATCTCAAAGATGATCTCTCCAGTCTCAGTACAGAAATTCAATGCCATCATATACATAAATAACACTGGACCAACAGTCTCAACAAAGGAGGACCATGGCCAAACTGCTAGGACTACCCTGGCTGTGCAGGATTTGGAGCAAATAAAAGTCCTAAAGGAAAAGAAATGCTAGGTAACTTCTCACAGTCTAGCAGAAGCAGACTGACTACGACAGCAGTCAGTCCAAAAGAACTTTCTGTAATGATATGAAATGGCCTAAATGTTCTACATCTGTGTGGTACAATACAGTAGCCACAAGTGACCACAGGGCACTTGAAATGTTAACTAGTGTCACGGAGAACTGAACTTTGAATCTAACTTATTTTTTAAAATATTTATTTATTTATTTTTAGACAAAGGGGAAAGGGAGGGAGAAAGAGAAGGAAAGAAGCATCGATGTGTGGCTGCCCCACACATGCCCCCAACTGGGGACCTGGCCGGCAATCCAGGCATGTGCCCTGACTGTGAATCGAACTAGTGACCCTTCGGTTTTCAGGCTGGCACTCAATCCACGGAGCCACACCAGCCAGGGCTAATCTTACTTATTTAAATTTAAAAGCCACATATGGCTTATAGCTGCCATACTAGACTGGACAGCAGAGAACGAAAGGTGAAAAGAATTCAGAAATTTTCTTTGACTAGCTCACTCAATTCAACAATTACCTACTGCATACTAGAGACTAAGGAGAGGGAGATGAGTGAGACCCTCCCTACCCTAAAGAAGGTTTTAATGAGGGACAGAGACAATAATTAAGTCTATTTCAGTACAATGTCTTAACAACTGAAAATACAATGATAAAGGAATCAAATAATCCTCCCTAAATGTTTATGTCATTAAATAGAACCTCAAAAACATGAAGGCTGATAGAACTCCAAAGGGAAATAAACAAATCCATAACAATAGTTATGGACTTCAACACTCCTTTCCTAGTAATCAATAGAACAAGCAGATAGAAAATCAGCAAGAATATTAAAGACCTAACACTGAAAACAATTGACTTAATCGACACTTACAGAATGCTCCACCCAACAGCAGAATACACCTTCTTTCCAAGTACACTTGGAACCTTCACCTAGACAGTCAATATTTTGAGGCGCAAAACAAACATCTAAAAACTTTTTATAAAATTAAAGTCAGCCCTGGCTGGCATAGCTCAGGGGATTGAGCACAAGCCGCAAACCAAAGCATCCCAAGTTCGATTCCCAATCAGAGAACATGCCTGGGTTGTGGGCCAGGTCCCCAGTGGGGGCCACATGAGAGGCAACCACACATTGATGTTTCTCTCTCTATCTCTCTTTCCCTTCCTTCCCCTCTCTAAAAATAAATAAAATCTTAAAAAAAATTAAAGTCAAAGTATGTTCTCTGAACATAATGAAGTAAAATTATACTAGTAAATCAGTAACAGGAAGATACCCAGAAAATTCCCAAATATTTGGAAACTGAGCAACATATAAATGCACACAATCCTAGGGGGGCGGGGTGAAGAAACTTAGCACCACCTGGGGTAAAGGAAATAGTGACCAGAGATGGCAAGGGATGGATGGGTGACTAGAAGTTAATCATCACAGCAGTGAACAACTATAGGATGTATGAAGGGAACTACAAAGAATTCAGTATTACTTGACAGACATTAAAGGTGAGAAGTTATATGTAAGAAGAGAAGTAAAAGAATTTAGAAGTCGATTCATCCTTGACCCCTTTCTCCCCTTAATCACACCCCACCTAACCAATCTGTCAATAAAATGTATCATTCTAAATCCTAAATTATTTTTTATTATCTCTCACCATTCCCACTGATACTACTACTACACAAGATCTGTCTCCTGGTCTACTTCAATAGCCTAATTCCTGCGCTGGCTAGGTAGTTCAGTTGGCTACAGTAGCATCCCCATACACCAACCTTGCTGGTTCAATCCCTGGTCAGGGCATATACAAGGAGCAACCAATGATTGCATAAATAAGTGGAACAACAAAATTGATGTTTCTCTCTCTAAAATCAAAAAGTAAATTTTTTTTTAAAAATAGCCTAATTCCCTTTATCAATTCTTATCCCACTCCAATTAATTCTCCACTCTATATTGTCAGAGCGATTTTTTTAAAAACCACAAATCTGATCATATCACTTCCTACTTTTATAATCCTTCATGGTTTTCCCTCCAGTCCATTGCACATGATGATCCTAGGGCCTAGAATCCTCATTCCCCACCCTTCAATTGACTACTTTAATTCTGAGTTCATCACCTCTTCACGGCGCCTTTTCTGACCACCTCAAACCAGATCATATATTGCCCCCTTTCAAAACACTTCTCTCACTGATACACCAGCTACCTACCTTGCTACATCAAGACAGAGGCCATATCTGATTTACTTGTAGCTACATCACAGAGTCCCTGGAACATAGCAGGTACTCGATAGGTATTTTTTTAATAAATGAACAAATCAATGAAGCAACAAAGGATGAAGCGGAAAAGAAGCAAAAGCCAAGTCACAGACTATCTGCAAATGTTAAGCACACAATCATTTTCCACTGAAGATTTTCAGGGAGGGCATAACATGGTCAGGACTGCCTTTTAGCACAGCAGTGTGTGTGAGGAGGACGAATGTGAGGCAGAATGGTTTCTTCAAGAGGTCAAGTGGCAGGTGAAGAGGCCACGATCTAGGACCCACAGATGGACAAGAAAGCTGAAAGGTATTTATTTGATAGAGATGTAGGATGTATATTGAAAAGGACCCGATAACCAGCTTGCACAGGGACAGTCAGGCATGGGGAGGAGTGTGTTGCTCCCCTCCTTTTGACCTGAGGTAGTTCAGCAGACAAGGAAATGGGAGGTTGGGAGTGGCCCGTACAGCATGAATTCTACTTGCAGCATGCTGAATTTGATGTGCCTACAGGACAGAGAAGTAGAGGGGAACCAATGAGTTAAAACACAGGAAAGAATTCATGACTACAGATATTGGGGTATTACAGGTTATGAAAGTATTTAATTTTATTAGTAGTTAAAGAAATGCAAATTCAAACATGAGAACTTTTAACGCACTGAATGCAAAGATGGAAAGATGGTTTATAAAAAGCTAGCATTGGCAAAATGGGCACTTTCTTACCCTGCTGATGGCAATACACTTATTATATTTATAATATAGTGATATGAGTATTATAATATGTGTTATATAATATATTAGTAATACATAAGGAAAGCCTTAAAAAAAAATCAGTGAAGTGCTCCCTTCGGCAGCACATATACTAAAATTGGAACGATGAAGAGATTAGTATGGCCCCTGAATAAGGGTGATATGCAAATTCTGAAACGGTCCATATTTTTTGAATGAGGAAATCATGCAGGGATTAAGAAGCACAATTGGTAGGAACAAAATAAACAGGAAGTTAAGAATAGCATAGGAAATGGAGAAGCCAAAGAACTTACATGTATGACCCATGGACATGAACTAAAGGGGGAAGAGTTGATGGAAGGAAGGGGGGTACCAGGCGGAGGGGGACAAAGGGGAAAAAATGTGGATAACTGTAATAGTATAATCAATAAAACATACTTTAAAAAAATCAGGGTTGCCCTGGCTGGTGTAGCTCAGTGGATTGAGCGTGGGCTGGGAACCAAAGTGTCCCAGGTTCGATTCCCAGCCAGGGTACATGCCTGGGTTGCAGGCCATAACCCCCAGCAACCGCACATTGATGTTTCTCTCTCCCCCCACCCCTTCCCTCTCTAAAATAAAATAAATAAAATCTTTAAAAAAAAAAAAAAATCAGGGTTGTGTGCCCTGGCTGGTGTGGCTTAGTGGATTGAGCGTTGGCCTGTGAACCAAAAGATCAGAGGTTCAATTCCCTCCCAGTCAAGGGCACGTACCTGGGTTGTGGGCCAGGTGCCCAGCTGGGGTGGCAAGAGAGACAACTGATGGAGGTATCTCTTGCACATCGATGTTTCTCTCCCTCCCTTCCCCTCTCTCTGAAAGTAAATAAAATCTTAAAAAAAAAAAAAAAATCAGGGATGTGAACCAACATTTATCTAAAAAGGATGGTCACTAAAGTAATCATAGCAAATAAAGAGAATACCGTCTTAAGTATTTAGTAAAAGTTTAGATGGAATCTTACATAGCTATTAAAAGTCACATTATATCAGCCCTCTTGGCCTATCCCCCAGGCCAGATTAGTTTTCAAAAAGTTCAGCCTTACCATGACATATTCCAGTTTAAAAACACTGAATGACTCCCCACTGCCCACAAGTACAAATTCCTCAGGCTTGCATTTATTCAAAATGGACCAAAATATAATCTTCATTTCTCTACACTTTTCTCCTTGACACTCAAGCACAAGTATGTAGTCCCTAGACATGGATCACTCTGTCATCTGTTGCATCTTGTATCTTCCCTTCTCTTCCTATTCAGCCTCCACCTAAAGAAATCCTATCCAATTTTCAAAGCATATCTAGAATTCAACCTTGTTCTTGATACCATTTCTGGTCTCCCAATAGACTGTGACCTCTCTCCCTAATTTAATTCTGTTTGTCTTACAACACTGACCATATCCTGATCTGTGCTACAGTTATTTATGTACTGTGTTATTAATCCCTCTTCTAAAGAATAAAGATCCTGAGAGGAGCCATTTATCCATCTCTGCATCTCTTTGAATATTTTAACACAATACCATGTACATTCTATAAGTATTAGTTAAATTATTTTTAAGTGTTTTAATCTCATGGTAAAGAAATACTCAATGAGGACCTGGCTGGTGTAGCTCAGTGGACTGAGTGCAAGCTACAAACCAAAGGGTCACTGGTTCAATTCCCAATTAGGGTACATGCCTAGGTTGAGTGCCAGGTCCCCAGGAGGGCCTCTCAAGAGGCAACTACATATTGATGTTTCTTTCCCTCTCTTTCCCCTTCCCTCTCCTTCTCTAAAAATAAATATTAAAAAAATTTTAAGTGAGGTAATGTCCTTTTCCTCTCAACAGTTGGTAAACTGACAGCAAAGAGATACAAAAGGTAGTAACATACTACAACAAAGAGAAAAGACTATAACGAGATATAACCTCATACCTGTTAGAATAGCCACTATCAAAACAATAAGTGCTGGCAAGGATGTGGAGAAAAGAAAACTCTTATGGTCTGTTGGTGGAAATGTAAATTGGAACAGGCAGTGTGGAAAACAGTATGGAGGGTCCTCAAAAAGTTAACACTAGAACTGCCATTATGATCCAGCAATTCCACTTGTGGGTATATATCCAAAGAAAAGGAAATCACTATCTCAAAGAAGTATTTATACGACCATGTTCATTTAAGCATTATTTATAAGACATAAGAACAACAGATAAATGGATGCCCATAAACAGATAAATGGATGAAGAAGATGCCACACACACACACACACACACACACACACACACACAGAGCACACACACCATACCACTGGTGGACCTTGAGGGCACTGTGCTAAGTGAAATCTCATACTTAGCTGTGTATAATACACACCCACGTTTTGGGCCCACACTTCCAGGAAAAAAAATCTTTCATTTTAATTTTTAATTCAATTTTTTATTTATTTATATTTACAAACAAAACTGATTATCATATTCTAGGATATTACTTTGCATACATATATTGTTATTGCTCTCTAGTGTTTTTTTTTTTAAGATTTTTTTATTTGTTTATTTTTAGAGAGGGAAGGGAGGGAGATAGAGAGAGAGAAACATCAATGTGCAGTTGCTGGGGGCCACGGCCTGCAACCCAGGCATGTACCCTGACTGGGAATCGAACCTGCGACACTTTGGTTCACAGCCCGCGCTCAATCCACTGAGCTACGCCAGCCAGGGCCTCTAGTGTTATATTTTTAATGCATAAGTATAAATAAAAAATTAAAAACATTTATATAGATATAGAATTAGCACTACCCATGTATAATGTGCACTCATTTTTCCCTCAAAAATCTGGGCAGGAAAGTGCATATTATATATTAAGCAAAATACATTAAGTCAGACAGTGAAAGACACATACCATATCTCTCTCGCTTATGTGTGGAATAGCTTTTTAATTTGTATTTATTGATTTAGAGAGGGAGGAAGGGGGAGGGAGCAAGAGAGAGAAACATCAACCTGTAGTTCCACTTATTTATGCATTCATTGGTTAACCCTTGTATGTGCCCTAACTAGGGACCAAACCTGCAACCATGGCATATTAGGACAATGCTCTAACCAACTGAACCACACAGCCAGGGCCATGTGTGGAATTTTTTTAAAAAAGAAGCTCACAGATACAGGCAACAAATTTACCAGAGGCAAGTATTAGAGTGGGCAAAATGAGTGAAGGGAATCAAAATGTTCAAAATTCCAGTTATAACTAAATCTGGGGATATAATATACAGCATGATGACTACAGTTAATAATGCCATACTGTATATTTGAAAGTTTCTTTTTTTAATATTTTATTTATTTTTAGAGAGAGGGGAAAGTAAGGAGAAAGAGAGGGACAGGAACATCAATGTTGGTTGTCTCTCATGCGACCCACACCAGGGACATAGCCCACAACCTAGGCACATACCCTGACTGGGAATTGAACCAGCGATGCCTTGGTTTGCAGGCTGCCACTCAATCCACTGAGCCACAGCAGCCAGGGCTGAGTTTCTAAAACCAAATCTTGCCGGGTAGCTCAGTTGATCGGAGCATTGTCCTGCTACACAAAAGCTGCAGGTTTGATTCCTGGTCAGGGCACATAAAAGAAGCAACCAATGAATGCATAAATGGGTGAAACAACAAAATCAATGTTTCTCTCTCTCCTCCCCCTTCCCCTTTGTCTAAAAATAATTTTTTAAAGAAAGAATAAGTCTCTTGGCTGGCATAGCTCAGTGGATTGAGCGCGGACTGTGAACCAAAGCATTGTAGGTTCAATCCCCAATCAGGGCACATGCCTGGGTTGCAGGTCACGGCCCCCAGCAACCGCACATTGATGTTTCTCTCTCTCTCTCTCTTTCTCCCTCCCTTCCCTCTCTAAAAATAAGTAAATAAAATCTTTAAAAAAAAAAAAAAGAGTAGCCCTGGCTGGCGTAGCTCAGTGGCTTGAGCGCGGGCTGGGAACCAAAGTGTCCCAGGTTCGATTCCCAGCCAGGGTACATTCCTGGGTTGCAGGCCATAACCCCCAGCAACCGCACACTGATGTTTCTCTCTCTCTCTCTCTCTCTCTCTCTCTCTCTCTCTCTCTCACCGCCCCTGCCTTCCCTGCCTAAAAATAAATAAATAAAATCTTTAAAAAAAAAAAAGAGTAAATCTTAAAAAGTTCTCACAAGAAAAAAAACAGTTTTTATAACTATGTATGGTGACAAATGTTAACTAGATATATGTAGGCAAATACTGAATCATTGTTGTACACCTGAAACAAATATGTCAATTATATTCTGGTTTTTAAAAAATGAATAAAAGCAAGTTCAGGGTTCCCAAAAAGAGAAATTTATAGTGAAATATGCTTACCCTAAGGTATAAGCCCTCGTCAATTTCCCTTATCCAGCTTCCCAGAGCAAAAGACAAACATACACCTCTCACAGACCCCCTATTCCCAGTCACAGACAAGAAATTTAAGATATCGCCCTGGATGGCGTAGCTCAGTGGATTGAGCGCGGGCTGTGAACCAAAGTGTCGTAGGTTCGATTCCCAGTCAGGGCACATGCCTGGATTGCGGGCCACGGCCCCCAGCAGCCGCACATTGATGTCTCTCTCTCTCTCTCTTTCTCCCTCCCTTCCCTGTCTAAAAATAAATAAAATCTTAAAAAAGAAAAAAAATTAAGATATCTTTCCTTAAGAAACCAAATAGATTCACAGGAGAAAAATAAAAGAGTGGAAGAGAAAACCAGAAATTAAAAAAAAAAAAATACAGGATAGAAAAAATAGATCAGTGGTGACCTGAGGTTAGGGAAAAGGGGAGGGAAAGGAGCTGACTAAAGGGGCACAAGGGAATTTTGTGGAGGTGATCAAACTGTTTTGTAGCTCATGGTGGTAGCAGTTACATGACTGTATGAATCTGCCAAAACTTAGTCTCAACATTGTATACTAAAATGGGTGAATTTTACTGTATATGTAAATTATACTTCAATAATTTTTTAAATTATCATTATTGAGAAATATAAGATGTATCAATGAACACAATCCTATAGAAAATACAGAAAACAGGCTTTGGAAATTAATTATCTGATAGCTGAAATAAACACTGATTTAACAGAAGGCTTGGAAGAGAGAAAGAGAAATCTAAATCTCCCAGGAAGCAGACCAAAAGGACAAACAGATAAAAAGAATTTTAAAAGATAAGAAACTTAATATGATCACCCTAGA